AGGGCTTCCAAACAGAAAAGACTTAAACTCATAAAATTCCTGAGTGACAAATAGCTCAAATTTGGAAGACAACCCATGGAAAATATCATACATGCCTGACCTAGTCTTGTGCTCTTTCATTGTGACAGAGAGATACTCCAGATATGTCCACAAAATGTTTACTCCATTACATGTTTCAGAAAGCTTTTCCCCAACAGAGGAAACCAGCCTCACCTGATGGGCCATGGGAGAACTGTCTAAAAATTCTTGCTAGTGCCTTAAGGTCTACAGTGAGCAAACAGTCTAACTGGTGAAATCTCTAAATAATTTTAACTACTTTGTCAGCTTTCACAGAGCAAAAATAGGAACTGTTCTTGCAATTGGAAATGGAGGTTTTTTCCTTATTCCAAACCTACCAGTTAAAATTGATGCACAAAAGATTCTGTACCCACGTCCTCAAAAATCATTCCCTCAACCCTCAAAGAAAAAAAATTGGGGGAAAAAAATAAAAATCACACAACTCAAAGCAATCCCACAAAATGCTGAAATCTTTTCCTACATGCAAATACCATATTCCTGTATTCTTTATACTCTTAGAAAACTTTTTAGCTAATTGCCCAAACTCCTTCAGTTAATTTAAAACTTTTTCAATGTCTTCTTCCTCTTACATAAACCAGAAGTTATCCTATTTGTCCTGTACCTCTGCATCAGTTGATAAGCACCACTCTGCTTGAATTACTGTCCCATCTCAACAACCAGGTATGTGTCTATTTCTGTTCATTTGCATGAGCACTGTCTTATGTCTCTTTTCTTCCTCTGCATGCACATTCAATCATATAATTTGGAAAAAAAATCCTAATCCACATCACAACTAAGAATGCCCAAGGCTGCGTTCCCTGTCAGCTCCATGCATTCCCTCAGAAATCTCACCAGTAAATATCATCTACTTCCATTCAAGACTACCTCTCTTCCACCAAAACCAAGTTTTAGCATATAACAACATCTCTCAGACTTCTGGCAACCAGCAGGAGATCAGAGTTTTTATACTTTCCTTCCACCTCCAAAAGCTCTCCCTTAATTAGCAGATTGGTTACTATGCACACCACAGACATTTAGATTCCTAACCCAAACAAGCTTGAAACCAGTATTTCCCAAAGTTTTGCCACTGATTGGATAAGCCTCATCAACTTGTTCTACAAAACAATTTTTCATCTCAGGTAGACTTACACCATCTTCTATTTTTATTACTTCAGCATCCTTCTCTCTGGCCTAGAACAACATGAACAAACCCACCCGCACAGACTTATCTGAGTGACATTTGTGTGGAATGCTTCTCCAAAGGATGTGTGACTTGCCAGTTGAACAAAGCCAATAAGGAAAGAAGTACACATGTTTCTCTCTCTGCATTATAGGGGATAAAATTACCCCAGCACAGAGAAGGAAAAACAATCTGTTGTTTCTTCTAGGAAGTTGTTCACAGAAAGAAACTTCTCTTCATCCCTTTCCAGGACCAGGACAAGGAAAACAATCTTTTATTTCTGACACTACTTATTCATTGATTCCCCTCCAGCTTAACCAAGCCAACTATTTGGTTTTGCTTTCAAAAAAAAGTTTCTTTTGAACCCTGTCCTGTAGCCAGCTGAATAAAATGCTGACTTCAAATGATCAGCAGCAGCAGGCTCTGACACAGACCTGTCAGGCTTTCAGAGAAGCACCTTCACACCTTGGGAAAAGGTTTGTCTAACCTCTGCCTTATCCTGACACACACAAAGAAACTTCCCCTCAGCTACACTACCTCAGCACCACAATCACTTACTCTGAACACCATGGTCTCATTTCTTTGTACTCCACCAGTTTCCTTAAATTATATTTTGAACTGGAGTCAGCTCCAACAGATGTATTTGCTTGATCCTACACAAACAATAACACATAGAGAACTCTCAACTAACAAGGCAGTTGCTAGTCAAAAATGTAAGATATGCAAGCAACTCCCCCCCATTTCCTGCATTTTTAGCAGCTCTAAACAAATAGCAGAAGGCTGTTGTAATACTTGGGGCTGCTTCAGAGTGACCAAAGAAAAAAATAACGAGGTTGGGTCTCCATTACCAACTCAATTCCAGTCACTTTAAGTCAGTTTAAGAAATGTCATGGTATTCCCAGACAAAAATAGACTCCTTGGGATCTGACAATATTTCTCCCCTCCTGAAGTGTATTGGAAATAGAGACTGAGATTATTGTTGTGATATTAACAAGATTTTCTTTCAGAAGAAGATATTAATTGAAAGCTATTTAGGTTGAGGTGGGGAGGAGATTGCTGCAACACTGGAACTTGAGCAGTATCTCTCCCAGCCACCTGCCTGACTGTAGAACACACCAGCCTTGTTCTAACAGCCATATGAAATGGGAACTAGGGCAAGGAGAAGGCTCTAATGGCAGGTACCACATATTTTCACAAGGAAGCTCCTTCCTGCTCCAACCCATCACAAGCCACCCTGTACACCTGAGCATCCTGAACGAACATCCCAGCTACATCAGCAAAGGGCTCAGTTAATGGGCACAAGTGCGACACAACCAGTCTGCTTTAAAAGCCAAAGGTTATGAAAGAAGACAAATGTGTGCAACACTTCTCAATCCACTGAGAGATGAAGGAAGCACTCTCAGCGTTCAGTGAAAAATGCTGGGTGCTTTTTTAGGTTAGTAACCCATCATCTGACTGCTGGCTATTAAAGCTGCACTGTGGATCACAGAATCTTATACTGTGGCACCCAAAACTGCACACAGTTCTCAAGGTGAGGCCACGCTTGAGTAGAGGAGGAGAATCACCTCTCCCAACTAATTAGTGGTGCTGGGCTTGATGCACCCTAGGATTCAGTAAGCTGCTGCAGGTCCTTCTGGATTGTCATTGCTCCTGGCATTTCCTTAGTTTCCAACAGACTACATGTAGGATCAATAAATACTGAAAACAAAAGAATTACGTTAAGAGTCGCCATACAAGAAATTCCTGACTTTCTCACTAAAATGATCACTGGTTCAAGTTTCAGAGAAATGAACTTCATCTCCAAGGCCAATAACCCCCACACTCATGAGCTCTTATAAGCACCATTTCTCAGCTCTAAACCAGAGATACTTTATGAGTATACAAAAAGAAAATAAGAAAAAAAAGTTCAGCTTAGTAACACAACTTGATCCAAACTGTGTAAAACTGAAATAAAAAGAACCAAAACAAGCTGGAAACTAGCTGCAGAGCTGGACCTGTAAGGCAAATAGTGTTAATCCTCCACTAGAAAGCTGGGGACAGAAGCAAGAGCCTATCCCTGACTACACCCAAGTTAAACCATGTTTGCCTGCCATAGCCCAGAAAGAGCGTCTAGTGCTGTGAAAAATAAAACAGGATGGAGGAGGAGGTAAAAACAGAGAGACAAAGAAGCAGAACAAGAGTATGGCTGATAAGGGGGAAAGAATAAGAGTAGAATTACACTATGTGGGTTAGAGGACAGGAGAACACATAGGAGAGACAAAACAGGTAATGCACAGAACAGTGCAGGAATTGATATGCTGTGATCCTTTACAGGAAAGAAACAAAACCAACTTATGAGCCCCATGACAGGGCCTGCAAAGAGCCAGACAGGGTGGGACAGAACACATGAAGAAACCAGAGTCCCTCCAAAATCCAGGACCTTCTCTCCAGATCTCACTCTGTGGGTAGTACTGCGTGCTTAGACTTGCCTCAACAGGCAGACAACAGAATCAATTGGCTTTACACTGTACATTCTGCACAGTGGTCACAGGCTACATTAAACTCCCACTCTCTTAAGTCAAAACCCAAATATTATTTTCCATTTTCAGCAATCCTGAACAATTAAGCAATATTAAAAAAAAAAAAGTCACGTGAAAACAACTGCTGTCCAATGTTCCCACTACAAGTCTTTTGCTCAGTGAGGTGGGGGAAGGATGGAAGCAAAGTGGTAGGGAAAGGGTGAGGACATGTCCAACACCCAGAACTACTCAGTTGATGTCTTCTTTTTACCAGCAACTCAAATTCAACAGACAGTAACAATCCAGAGATAGCTGACACCTGACTGACTGCTACAAAATGTCCTGGTTTGACATGGACAATTCTTGTCCATTCGTTTCCCACCTTTTCTGGAAACACTGCTCCCCTGTTAAATTTGGATTATGTACTACCTTGCAAAACAAAGCCTACACTATGGCTTGTCAATAATTTCATATATCACAGTTTGCAGTCCATTGTTCTAAAGGACATATCAAGGCTCTTCAGCTGGCAGCTCTTAAGGGATACAAAAAATCCCTTCTCTAGCAGCAAAAAGTGAATTACTCTTCCATGACGGGAGGAGTCACTGTAACATTGTCAAAACTGATAAACACCAGGTTTCAAGCAGTTTGTGGGCAACACTTCTCAAGCCCTCTAACTGCGTGTCCCTCCTCTAATCAGCTCTCTACACAAGACCTGAAAGTATCATTATGGTGTCCACACAAACACTCACCACGGTGAGTGGGGAGGAAAAAAAAAAAACCAAAAACCTCAAGCAATTCTGCATAGCCCTCCTAAGCTGCAAGAGGCTGGTTCTTGCTCTAAAGCATTCAATGCTTCTAGTAACTCTGATAACATAGAAAATACTTCCTCCATCTTGCCCTGTAAAACTAATCAATAGTTTTGTATAAGACAAGAAATAGAGCTTATTGTCCCTTTCTAACTATTGTAAAATGGTAAAATACTATTTATCCAATAAAACTGATTTGAGAAAAAATTTGAGGTAGCTTCATAGTTACAAAACTCCTTTTAAGTTCTGTATTCTATATTATTGCTATAATGGACTTTTTTGAGTTAATCCTTTCAAAAACATTCAACAGATCAAAACAACTGAGTGCAGCAGAGCACTGTGATCATGACACTTCTGACCTCCACCCAGGTATATTTCATCTCTTAAATTAACTTTTACATAGAGGGAGAGATACAGGAAATACTGAGGTTACAAGTATGTGAATAGAAACTGACTCACCACAGTCCTTTGCTTGTTGGGCAGGAAGACTCTAACAATGGGCTTCTGTGGAGACTTAGGGTTATTCCGTGACATATCAGCAGGGCTTTGATAAACTGAAAGGGATGAAGGTGCTACAGAGAGGCTAGAGGAGGAAGATGATGCAACTGTGTCTGTTGAAGCTGAACTGGAGACAGAGAAATCAGTTCCATTCCCCATGGATTCCAGTAACTGCTGTTCTCTCTGCTGTAGAGCATCAAGCTTGCTGGTGTACTCTTCATAGGCCTGTGAAGGAACAGCAGCTGTTTTAATCATGTAGCAGCCTCAGACAAAACCAGAAATCTAAATTCGGAACAAATGTGAAACAAAACACTTCCTCAACTAACACAAATTTCCCAAGAATATGAACAAACTGGTCTGGTCAAATTTTTCAGGATACAATGAAGAACATCATGTTAAACCTTCTAAACCAACAAGTAATGTTTAAATAAATTAAATGAAGAAAAGGATCGAAGAAATGCTAAGTTACTGTTTCAAAACACCTGCACTGAAGATTCTAATTCACAACCACTTAAAAAAAGACAGAAGTCTTTAACCAATATTGTCAGCTGCAATGCTGAATTACTGTGCTCCAGATAAATTTATCATTCTGTTGGAATGACAGTTAAATACTTCTAATGCAATAATTAAGAGAAAGCTCAAACCTGCTTTTTATCATCCATATCTGACTTCTCACTGTTCACTATCCTTCACCTCTGGCACTATCCTTTCATATCAAATAGTACAAAAAATGTTTTTCTGTTAGAACACAACACATTTTGCCCTTTTCAAAGCCATCCATAAACATGTAAGTGATCCTTTGAAAGTTTTTTAACATCTTTTTGGCATATTCACACAAAACCCGCTTATACAGATCAAGTTTCTTAAGCAAACAAAAACATCAATAATATTAAATTTGCCCATTAAGTCTTTATTAAATGTAGTCAAGTTAAACATTATTGCCAAGATCTATAAAACATATATAATCAGTATATATTTTTCTTTAAAGTTTGTTATGCACAACTTTGTAACAAGAAAATTGTGATTGATATCAAATACTAGAACCATTTCTTCAGTATATCAATATAGAAAAACCTGAATCAGTTAAGCAGCGTGTTTTTCATACTATAGAAGCATGTCAGTGTTAACTGACATATTTAAACCTTGCTTAGACCTTTATAGAAAAGAACAAACAAAGATCTTCCAAACCTAACATGTAAGCAGTAGGGAATGGAATTTTCTACTTTCCTCTACAGCAAGAGCAAGATCCATACCAAGACGCATTAATTCTTCAGTGATATTTTCCAATATATTTATACAAAAGAAAAATACTTTCTGGTTCTGCTTTTTTAAAATTACTTATTTTACTTGCTTTCCTACTTTTTTGCTTATGACAGTTGCTAATTAAAGTTACAGGAGAACTGAACTGATCAAATGGTCTGCAGCATCTATCTACATGTGGAAAAAGATAAATAAAGGGAAAAAACAACCAACTTGTAGTAGTGCAGCCACAAGTCCTACATTTTATTGGGAATTTATTTCTCCAGGTTAAATGTGCAGGCTCATCTAATCCAAACTGCTCTTGCTGTGCAAACAGTGGTTCATCCCTCCCTTTTTAAGAAAGCTTAGCATCCTCCCAGGATGGACGTGAACATCACAGTTGCAAATTCTAAATTTTATGGGTTCCACTTCTAATAAACATAGGATAGTTGCAAGAAACTGAGAATTATTTATTATTTATTTTAAAAACTGAAGATATCTAGCATTTCACTAATAGACCCCAAACTCTGAGACTTAAATCCAAAACATTTTCACTTTAACCCAATTGTATTGTCAAAAGTAAATGGAAAGATTACCCAACTATAAATAATGTCATTTTTTGGCTGTACAGTAACACATGTGTCTCTCCTACTTCCAGGATCAACTTTGCATGGAAACTTGAGTAAAAGCTCCATGTGTCAAGAATTATTTTCAGTAAACAAAAATTAGGAAACATAAACTGTTACCATTTCACCAATACTGTTCTAAATACTTACTTCCCTTTCTCATGAACATTGCAAAATATTATTCCAACACACGCAACATTACATTGCTTCCGGACGCTCGTGGGTTTAGTTCCATCACAAAATTACACACAACTTTCAAAATACTCAATCCTACAATGTTTACATTGGCAGCTTAATCTGTCACTAATGCAAACCAAAGTCAAATGATTTATCTTAAGAGAATAAACAATGAGTATGGAAGGCTGGGAGCTGCAGCTGGCTTTGGGTTCTACACCACTGATTTCTGTAAAAAGCTCTGTATTTTTTCTGAGAACAAAAGCTCTCAAGTACCATACAGTTATTCAGTGTCATAGCAGAAGATCCCACAGTAAAACATAAAGGAACTAGAAATGCATTGCTAGACTTTAAAACATTTTTCTCTTTAAAAAAAATCTTCTTATACAAAAGGAGCTACAGTACACGCAGCAGAAACAGAATATCTCCAATAAATTTCCATTTCACAAAGGTTAAGTACTTTGGGGAAACAAAGTTTCATCTGATGATTAGCACCAATAGACCTTACAAAGACAACAGCACCAAGTCAAGACAGAATTATTCTATAGAGTTAAATTCAAAGATAGTGACATCAGCAAAGCTGACCTATGGCAAGTATTTCTAGCTAAAAGAAAGATCATGTTGCAGATTTGGCCTATCTAAACTGACCTGCAGCAGCACAGCCACTTAAGCAGACAAGCATCAACAGCTACACAAACCTTCAAGCCCATCAAGGCCCACTGGGTCAACTATGAGGTTGATTTCTGACTGTGTCTTTCAAAAACAAATTAGATTAAAATTAAGTCTGCACTGTAAGAATCAATAACATGAAAAATATTAAGATGAATACTCAAACAAATCATTAAATCAAGGATTCTAAAGGCATTTCAGAAGGAAGAATTTAAGAAATCTAGACTGCAATCCTATCAGTTTACATATTCCCATTAAGAAGTGAGTAATGTTCTACACAAAACTTAAATCTTGCTTGATGCAGAATGAGAAGAGAGAAAAAAAGGGTGAGAAAATATCTGCAGAAGTCATCTCGTCCTAACACACATTTAACACAGAAATAATTTTCAAGTTCAATGAGGTTGCTCAGGGCCTTGCCAAAGCAGGCTTTGCAAGTCTTGAAAGATGGAGAGCCCACAACCCATGGGCAGCCAGCTCCAGAGCTCAAAGCCCACGCTCACAATGAAGAATTGTCTCTCATGAAATGAACTGGATGCTCACTATCTGTGACATTGCCCCTTCCCCGTTTGCTCTGCAGGTCTGGGAAGAGCCTGAGTCTCTTTATGCTGAAAGGGCCTGCAGATTCCTCCTGAAGCTTCTCTTCCTCGCGCTGAACACCACCTCAAAGCAGCCACACAATTAATGAGTGGATGGGTGCCTCTTCATTTGCTGCTGCAGCCCAGTGTGCAGTTTGCTGCTGGTATTGTGAGCGTGGATCACTGACAGCTCAGATTGCTCCCAACTTAGTGTGAATTTACAAAGTTTCATTTCACAAAGCACGTATTTGAAAAGTCAAACATTAGATTAAAATCTGCATAATTTGTCTATCTACACATAATCCTATGGCTACCAAAAACAGAACAAAAAGTAAGTTTTAGTTATATTGCATATCAGTATATTTGCACATCATATAATAGTCTCATATGTGTGAGAACACCCCTGAGACTTCCACTAAGTAAAATGCATCAAGGCCTGATAAGCTGCAAAGTCCAACTAAAGCATTACAAGATGGCATGTTTATATTCAATGTGCACACATGCCAAAATACAATTGCTGTCTTATTCTGCTGTATATATTCTGCAGTTTTAACTGCTGCATATATTCAGGATCAGCAGCCTTAAAGTTACTTCTTAAATGTTGCAACCTACTGACAAAATAAAAACTGACCTCAGAATTCAACAAAATTAGACAGATGTTATGCAAATGGGCCAAAAGAGTTCTGTTGATGAGGACAAAGGATTTTCTCAAAAATATACATTTCTTTTCTTACATATCATTTATATTATATCTGAAATTTGTTTTCTTGGGCCATGACTAGGCTATACATTCTAGTGAAATGATCTAAGGAAATAAAAAGCAACAAGTTAATTTTTTTAAAAAAAATTAATCTGTGAGAAACCCAAGTAGCAAGATATGATTTCTCCATCTCTCTGCCCCCTACTACATCTGGGTAGAACACCAGTCTAAACTCAAGCAGGTAACTGTTTTTGCCATGCCCTCTCTCTTCCTCAATCAACTTTAGATAATATCCACATTTTGCAAGACTCAAAAGCCTAGACTACAGGTTCCTGGTTTTTGAAACTGAGATTGTGTTTCTATTTAAAAGATGTCTGACCTTTTAGGCTGTTGATCAAACGCAAATCCCACTAAGTTAAATGGGAGCTGAAGATAGACAGTAACATACGTCACGATTTCTTCATTTAGTAAGACTCCTAAATCTGTACTTAGTCTAACTTTAGACACTCCAGATTTGGTCCAACATATTTGAACAGCATCTGTTAGGAGGCTGGTAAAAACCAATCTGAAATTCCCCAGAGGGCCACCAGGTTTCCCAGTGTCTATATGCAGCGTTAGCGTTTTCCTGGAATCCCACAGTCTGGAACAATCTGAGATTCATCACCAAGATCTATTTTAGACTCTATCTGCATGCTGTTGCAATAAGTATACTTCAGATCAGCAAAGAGGTAATCTTCTTTAATTAACTAATTTGACCTCCTGCATGGATTCTTCACTTATACAGGAATAAGAAATTAAATACTCTCCTGACATTCAATAGCCAAACTCTCAAAACTGAGAGCAGCAATGCCTCTGAATAAAACACATTCAGGCAAAGAGAAAGGCAAGAAAAAAAAAAATCACAGTAGCTGGGGGCAAACATACCTCTACCCCCACAATTCTCATTTTAAATTGCTTCCAAGAGTAGGAGTAAGAAAGAGAATGATTCCTTCAAGACAGTATTAGAAAGCTGACTGAATTCTAAAACTTATTTTGATACCACTGTAATTCTATACATTTGCATGCTGTTTCATCTTGTGTGGAGTCCAAATTCAAAAAATCAAACCAAACCAACCCCAACAGACCTGGCAGCTCAGTCTTGGACTGTTAACTGAAGTAACCAACAGGTCCAGAATGCAACCCCATCCCAGACAATAATTCACACACAAATGGGCCAATACTGTTTCAGTTCTTACAGGTAAG